AATGTAGGTATTGTTTGTAGAGCAAGTTGCAGTGAAAGAGTGATGTGCAGAGACGACGGCAGATACGACTCGGCACGTTGCTGAATTAGCATGATTCAATGAGGCGGTTGACAGGCTGAGGAGCTCTAGCAGAGCGACGGACTGGATCAGCTGCTGTGCCACCGTACTCAACCTCGACTGTCGGCTTCTCTGCTTCTAGCAGTGGCAGTCGGATCAAGTGACGACGATTGCGGCGAACAGTAGAGTGACCAGACTCAACGAGGTAAGAACGATTGGACACTTGCTCTACTATCTTGCCCTCCCGTTCGAGATCGGTGATGAATACACGGTCATGAAGCTGTAGAGTCGCGAGAGGCTTAGCTGCATGCCGTTGGTCGTAGTGCAACTTCTGCTGTTCCTGGGACTGAGTTTCCGATTCCAGAATACTAGGGAGATCAGGCCATTTCGGTTCCAGCTGTTCAGTCGTTGCAGGTAGACCGGTACGGAGCTGGCGGCCATACAACAGCTGACATGGGGCATAGCCGTTGCTCAGCGGTGTCGTGCGGTAAGCCAAGAGTGCATCTTGCAGGCTTTCGGCCTTCCGCAGGAGATTCTTGGCGGTGCGAACTGCACGTTCCGCTTCGCCATTCGACTGAGGATACCGTGGACTGGAAGTGCGATGGGTGATGTCGTTTGCTGTGCAGAACTCAGTAAACGCTTCGCTGGCAAACTGAGGACCGTTGTCTGTAACCAAGGTGGACGGGAAACCATGCTCGGCACAGATGCGGTGCAGATGCTTGATGACAGCAATCGAGGTTGTGGCAGTCAGCGGTACGACATCGAGGTAACGCGAGAGATAGTCAACAATGACGAGGTAAGTCGTGCCGTTGAATTCCATCAGATCTGCACCAACCGTGTGCCACGGCAGTGTTGGGCGTTGGACGGGTTGCAGTGGTTCGGTCGACTGGACGCGGTGTTTGGTGCACACTTCACACGTAGCGACCATCGTGTCGATTTGCCTTGACAAGCCTGGCCACCAAATGGAATGGCGGGCGCGAGACTTGCACTTCGTTGCACCTTGATGTCCCTCGTGGAGCTTCTCGAGCATCTAAGGCTGCAGAGAGGGTGGCATGACAATGCGGAAACCATGGTACAGCACACCTTGCTCACAGGACAGTAACTGGCGTTCATGGAAGTATGGGCGCACAGTGTCGTCGACATCACGTGGGTTGCACGGCCATCCGTGTTGGACGAAGTGGAGGACTTGCTTGAGTGTCTCATCTTGTGTGGTGGCGTCAGCAATGTCACGGGCTTTACCATCCGACACGATCTCGCCGATGTAAGACGCGAGGTTGATGCTGATCTCGTCTTGGAGACTAGGCGTGTCGTCACAGGCGAGCGGAGCGCGAGACAGAGCATCGGCAACAACTAGCTCTTTGCCAGGGACATACACGGCGGCTGGATTGTACGTGAGCAGGCGCATCAGGAGGCGTTGACATCGCATCGGGACACGGTTCAAATCACGCGTATTGATCAGCGGGATGAGTGGTTTGTGATCCGTCTGGACAGTGAGGGACGAGTTGCCGTAAATGTAGCCGTGGAATCGCTCACAAGCCCAGACAACAGCCAAGCACTCCTTCTCGATCTGCGCGTACTGTTGCTCAGTAGTGGTGAGGCTGCGTGAGGCAAATGCAATGGGGCGCATTCCGTCGTCATGCTCCTGCAATAGGACAGCTCCCAAGCCGTAACTGCTGGCATCAGCGCTGATGACCGTGGGCTTGGTTGGGTCGAAGAACGTGAGGCAGGGCGCATTGGTGGCAAGCTGTTTGAGCTTGTCCAGGGCCTGTTGTTGTGTAGCAGACCACTCCCATGCGGTGTCATGCCCCAGTAGAAGACGCAGTGGAGCGCTGACTTCCGAGAGATTGGGAATGAAGCGTGACATGAACGCGAACATGCCGAGAATGCGCTTCAGTTCCGTGACGTTCTTGGGCGGCTTCAGATTAGCGACGCTGGACACTCTCGCTGGGTCAGGGTGGAGACCTTTGGCGGAGAAGATGTGACCAAGGAACTTCACTTCGGCCTGACGCTTGTGACATTTCGTCATGTTCAGCGTGACGTTGGCTTTCTGCAGGATGTCTAGTACGGCAGCTAGGTTACGGTCGTGTTCTTCTCGCGTACGGCCAGAGACAATGATATCGTCCATGTAGACGAACACGCCGGGGAGCTGGTCCAGAAGGTTGGTGAGACGCTTCTGGAAAATCTCAGGTGCTGATGTGATGCCGAATGGCAGTCGCTTGAAGTAGAACCTGCCGAACGGCGTGATGAAGGTGGTCAAACGGGCAGAGTCGGGACTGAGTGGGACTTGCCAGAATCCGTTAGCAGTGTCCAATGTCGTGAACACAGTCGCTCCGGCCAGTGAAGACAGGGCATCTTCTAACGTTGGCAGCTGAAATGTCTCCCGCTTGACAGACGCATTAAGACGCTTCAGGTCGACACAGATGCATACCTTGCCGTTAGGTTTGAGGACGGGCACCATAGGCGAACACCAGTCTGTGGGTTCGTCGACACGCGCAATGATGTCGCCATCTTCCATGCGGTGCAGTTCTTCACGTACTTTCGAATACAGGTGATGAGGAACTCTGCGAGCTGTGAGGCAGTGATACGGTGTGGCGTCGGAAGTCAAGTGAATCTGCGCAGCAGGACCAACCATACACTGTACGAGTGGGACTGGACCTTGCACTTCAGCCAGACGCTGGACTAGACCCAGTGCTGTGCACGCAGATCGGCTGAGCAGGCTAGTGCTGGCACCATCTAGAACAAAGATGGGTATGGTAGTGGACTGGGATTGAAAGGAGCAGTGAGCCTCAAATACACCCAGGACCTGCATAGTCTGGTCATTCGCTCCTCTCAGCTGAGCACTAGTAGCAGATAAGGACGGCTTGGGCTGCAGTGTATTGTATGATTGCACGGACATGGTAGAGACATCAGCTCCAGTATCTAGCTTGAACTGGACTACACTCTTTCCGATAGCTAGATCTGCCAACCAGGGTGAATCACTTACACTTTGTGCGCACGTCGTGTGGCCAACAAATAGAGAGTCCGGAGAGTCGTTCGTGACGGCAGAGGTGGACGGTTTCGATCGGCAAACTCGCGCGAAGTGGTTGCGCTTGCCACAGGCTTTGCAGCACTGGCCTCTGGCTGGGCACTGATCGCGTTGCGAGTGGTGGCTTCCACCACAGTTCGGGCACTTCGATTCGGTCGCAGGCGGCGTTGCTGCAGATTTGTAGCTACCATGCGGTCTGCTCTTCGGCATAGATCGACCACCACGGTGCGACTGGACAGCTGAGGCTGAGGCATCATCATCTGAAATCGAGCTGGCGGCGGCCAAGCCACTGCGCGATTGGGCTGCAACCTGTTGCTGGACAGTTTCGGCGTGCCGTGCGAACGCAACAACTTTGGCGAGAGTTTGCTCGCTCTTGTCTTTCATCTGCAGCTCCCGACTCACCCGCTTGTCCAGCATGTGGGCGACGAAGCGGTCTCTGATACGCTCATCCTTCGTGCCAGCAAACTCACAATACTCTGCAGCTTTGTACAGAGCACGGACAAACTCCTCTACTGTCTGGCCGGGTTGTTGTACAAGCTGTTCAAATTTAGCCCGTTCATGAACAACATTGGTAGAGGGGCGGAAGTACGTGTCGAAAGCACTGACGACCTCGTCATATTTCTTCTTGTCGTCCTCGGATAGTCCGAGTTGGTACTCGAACAAGGAGTCGGCGTTGGGTCCGAGAGCATACAACAAAGTGGCCACCTGAGTTTCTCCCGGGTCGGAACTCAGTTTGGTGGCAGCACGAAAACGGGTGAAACGGAGTTTCCACGCGGGCCACTGGTCCGGTGAGCTGAAGTCGAAAGGCGCTGGAGGGTTGAAACGAGCCATCACCGCTCACGAGGCCAAAGACTACAGGAAAACCAATTCTGACACCATGTAGTGGTTCTACAAACGCACCAAAGACATCTTGTAACTAGCTTCGTTACTACAAATCACAAGTGTGTGGGAATACAGAGAACGACAGAGAGATCAAAGGAAAAGCCAGGCAGGCAAGTACAGCTAAAGTGCGTACGGTACAACTGGCATGTCGCACAGCGCGGCCGGATGAATGCATACATGTTACATAAAAGGATACAATGACAAACAGTGGGATGTGCATCCACTACAGTTATGTTGTAGCTCTACTAAAGTATACCGTGTAGACAGTAAACCTGTAACTAAGGACCACCCCTTGGGGCAAGAAGAAACGGTCTTTAGTGGCAGGTGGTCTTTAGTTAGAAGTTGCATCGCTCGACCCTATATGGATCCCATCTCTGATATGTATGTCAAATAGTAGCTAATACAATATCCCACCACTTGCGCAATGCTATTTCTCCTTTGAGAAGTAGCATCGATCATGGAGCAGGTTCGAGCAGGTGCTCTCCAAGACGTTTCCTTTCATGTTTGCTCATGGGAGCACTTGAAACTATGCCAGGTGCAGTTCAGTCCATAGTCAAAATGAGATTGCGTTAATTCGTGCAGCTGTAGTATCGAAAGAGTCCATTCAGGACAGAAAATCATCAAAATTTCGAAGAAGTGGCTTCGAACAACCTTTGATTTCCTGCACTGCTGTCGCTAGTTACATGTCAAAAATCGACTTTGGGACAAGAAAAGGCGGCCGCTGGATGCGTTCAGCAGGTAGTCGCTTGTCACAGTGCATTTTTGTATATGAGACCGTCCGTGCCTGGCGAAGTGGTGTGTAGCAGCAGGCTGGCTGTTAGTCACGGTGGTCTTTAGTTACAGGTTTTACTCTATTATGGCTTTGAGGCGCAATGTTCACCACATTAAAATTTTACAAAGAGAGGAACATGCAATTTTCTAGGAACATCTTTGACAGCGAAGTGACGCTGGATGAGCACATGCTCAGTTTATAAGAATAAATAAACCAGTGATCAGAACAAACAGTTTCACGCTGAGCACTTTGGCCAGTACTCACCTGTCGTGGCTTATAGACATTGAACATAACTTTGCCGTGCAAGAGCGACGGATCACACCACAGTAAAAACTGGACACAATGAATGCTGCCATAGTAGCATGCTGCCAGCATCAGAAGAGCCTGAGTATGCAAGCGCAAATGCGCACACACGCACAAACAAGCACACAGATACGTACGTACGTACATACATGCACATACGCACACGCTGACATGCACACACACACACACACACACACACACACGCACACACACGCACACACACGCACACACATACACACATCATTAAAACACATGTTTTGCACGCACGTATGCACATAAACAGTCACACAGGCGCGTGCGCACACACCGCACACACACACAAAAACACACATACAGATACATACACACATATACACACACATACACATACCAAACACGCAAACAAACAAAACAAACAGATAAAGATACACACATGCTAGCATGTTCAAACACACGCACACCCAAACACACAAAATAACACAGACAAACACAAACACACGGACATTTGCATGCTCGCACATACACGCACGCACACACATACACACACACAGACACACACACACACACAAACACACTCAGAACTCAGAACTCAGACATGCCCATCATCACGGAAGCGATGATAGCTACCAGCTATGTTAGACATAGCAAATTGAGCTAGGATTACACCATTCAACAGCTTGCAAGCATGATGATTTAACCGCAACTAATTTTAGCCTGGTGTCCACCGCACAGCTGATTGAAGTGGCTTTTTCTGGCCAGTGAATCCCTATTTTTCATTTTCTTTCTCCACTTTTACACACAGAAAGACACACACACACACACACACACACACACACAAAGAAACACACACAGGCTAGCACACTCAAATACGCACATACCCATCCAAGTATGTACGCACACTCCCGCATACACATGTGCACGCGCACACACACACACACACACACACACTCACACATACACACACACCTCAGACCTCAGACCTCAGACATGCCCATCGCGGGAGCGATGATAGCGAACAGCTATGTTTTAGACATAGCAACTTGTGCTGGGATTACACCATCCAACAGCTTGCAAGGCTGATGAATTGACCGCCACTATTTTTAGCCTGGTATCCACCACACAGCTGTTTGAAGTGACTTTTTCTGGCCAGTGAATCCCTATTAATTTTTTCATTTTTCCATTTTTTTCTTTTTTTTCTTTTTCTACACACACCACACCACATACTCCGGCATACACTGGCTGTTGGTAACCACCCAGGAGAATGAAAGAAAAGTCAGGAAGAGTCTGAGAAAGAGAAGAAAGACGTGTGTGACCATAATCGTCGAGAATCGAACCCGCAACCTATCGATTGGAAATCGCTGCACATACCACTGCACCATATGGGACACACACACACACACGCACACACACTTGTACTTGCTCACTGCCAAAACTGGTCACGTGAGTCTCACCGGGGAGGGGAGAGAAACTCCAAAGGAATCTTGGAAAGATGACTCAATTAGCTATTGAACCGCCCAACGGCCTACACCCTGAAATCCGCAAACTAGCGTGGACTTGAAAGTATCCAACTTATGGGCTCACAACACCTCAGTAAGTGGGAGAGGACAAGGTGACGAAAAGGATTGATGGCATCAAGGTATCCGTCCCGGGATCCAACTGCAGTTACCTCTGCCCCCAGTGAAGGTAACACTTGGTACTAGTGCGGGTGGCTAAATAATGTAGTTTGGTCCTACAGATGGATCGCGGCACGGTGATCACGGCACGGCGGCACGGTGCCAACGAGTGAAGAAATCATTCGGCGTGCTCGGCAAAGACATGCCGAAAGCGTTCAACACAATATCCAGGCACCGTTTGCTCACTATATTAGCTAGCTTCCTTGAGAATGATGAGGTCACCATTATGTCCTAGCTACTCAGGAACACGTCCCTTGAGGTCCGGTTACCTGGAGGGAAGAGCGAGCAGTTCCAGACCACCTGAGGTACACCACAGGGTGACTCACTATCACCTGTCCTATTCATTATCTACCTGGAGGCATTGCTTTGGGAGGTGAGACAGATTATCTGCGCAAGACCCGATCGTCTGACTGCAAATGTATTCAAGAGCTCCTGCCCGACATTGCAAAGTGCCTCAAAGCCTGGGACCTCAACATCAATGAATCTAAAACAGAACTCACAAACATCATATGGCTCAACGACAGAGTGTGAGAGGAATGGCGCCTCACCATTGGTGACCACGAGGATGCTGCGCGGAGAACGCAACTCGCCACGGCTGCCCTGCACCGACTCTTGGCATTATGGATATGTGGTTCCATTTTAAACGAATCGCTGAGAGTACGGCTAAACAAAAACATACATCTTACCAGTCCTGTGCTACAACAATGGGACTTGGGGCCTCACTGGCACCGCTATGCATAGAGTTGATGCGTTCCATAGACAACAACTGCCAAAGGTTATTGGCATACGGTACCCAGCTAAATTCAAGAATAGCACCCTGTCCAAGAGGACAAACTCAACACCACTTGGTATCTCGGTCCTGAGAGCCCGCTGGCGTCTGTTTGGGCACGTGCTGCGGCTGGACCAGAGTGCACCGGCGAACCTTTCAATGTGCTCCTACTTCAAGCCATCCACTGAGCCTACCTGGAGGGGCAGGCGGGGCACAACTCTGCCGGTCGTGCTCAGACACGATCTCGAGCTGGTTGGGAGGACCCTCAAGACCTCGGCGAATCTTGAGGAGCTGAGGAGCATCGCCCAGAACCGCGGGGCATGGAGCTACCTTTGCGGCCGTATCCTAGAGAGATATGTTACTGCTCACGGAGGGTCCCTGGCAATGATCAGCAAATTCAAATTCAACTCGGTTGAGCTGCTGGTTTGCTTGTTTTAATTGTATTCTATTTTCGTCAGGCAAGCACCTAGAATTAATTCCTTGTTTCAGGTCACTTCACTCATTCGTACCAGGGTCGGACGGTCGGGTTTATTTTAGCTGCGGGCAGGGGTGTATGCATGTACAATTGTGCATATCGAATAGCTTTTCTCCATCAAGCCAGTCGATCAAATCTGACTGTAGTCGATCCAGCGTAGCCATTGTCCCATCAGATCCAGGTCCGGGGCCACGTCCCCTCCAGGACCAGATCTTGGCCTCGCTGGCAAACGAGTCTGACGAGCAGCTCTCACCGAAGTCCTTGAAAACTTCTGCCAATGAGCGACGCAGTGGCGGAGCTGATGCTGTTTCAGGACCGATTGAGAATCGGAGATACAATGTAGAAGACAACGTCGTCACCAAGTGCTGCAGGCTGCTTCTGACTCTGAAGTCGATGTCTGGACTGCTATACATATTTTGGATCGTGTGTGTACATAGTCTACCTTGTAGTCATGCACATTTGCATGCACTAAAAAAAATTGCGGTCGGGTGAAAAAAGACGGTCGGTCGGGTGACCCGAAACAACGAATTAATTCTGGGTGGCCTCACCCGTTTTATATCGCATATGTTTTTATATCGCTATCAATATCCTGTTTGGCTGTTGTCGCTTCGGCTTATGCGAAAGCTGTACATGCTGTGTATATCTACATTGCATTTATGCCGACGCGGAGAACCTTCTAATAATAATAATAATACTTCAACATGCCAATATATATATATTTCACGATTCGCGTGAGACTCGGCTGAAAGCCGAGTTTTCCGCATCCGCCGTGGGAACGCCACCACCCTCTAGGATCAAAGTTCAACATGCCAATGTCCACTCGCAACCATGGAGCCGCGGTTCATCTAGCTCCTCCTGAGCCTGCCTGGACTGATAAATCTGTAAAGGCAGAAACAACTCGAAATAGCCGTTTCCTAGGACTGGGAAACAGTGAGAGTCTACGAGGAGGGCAGCGTATGTGACAGCCTTGCAGACGACGAAAGACTTGCCAATGCAGCCTCCACAGGTCGTCGGCTCAGGCAATTACAACCCAGGGAGCGGTTCCAACCTGAGATGCCACACCTAGGCAGGAATGTTCGTGCATCCAACATTAGCAACAACGCCCAATTCGAGCGAAGGCCATCAGGCCACGGACTGTTTGACAACGATGGCCGAACCCCTGGCAGCGCCCCGCATTGCTGGACCTGCCAGCAGGTTGGGTCACGTAGCATTGCTCCCAGTTCGGCCGAGGCAGTAGTCGCCAACCACACTGGACTCAGCAACCACAAACCACTGCTGGAGCTCGTCGACGGATGGACGGAGCATGAGTTCCCGGACTGGCTGGAGTCTGACGAGATAAGTGCTTGTGACAGTAACGTTCATGTGCGGTTATTACACCCCGTTGCCTTTTTGGGGAATATTGGTGCCTCAGATTTTGTTTTATGAATTATTCCTTATGGCTATTTTTTGTGTGTTGTCTCCCCGCCCCGCCCCGCCCCAGTTCCGGGCGTGACCTAAATCTTCTAATAATCACTCCAGTGTTGAGTCTGACCTAATCCTTCTGTTGTTGCGTTCGGGGGCTGTGGGAGAAAATGCTATCCATGTAATTATCCCGGTGGGCGTGGTCCCTAAAAGCAATGGAAACTTGAGGTTGATTATAGACCTCCGCTTCCTCAATAAGCATTCGGCCAACGTTCATTTTAGAGTTGAGTTGAGTTGTTTTTTAATCACCTTGCCCCCCCCCCCTCCCATGTGTAGTCCGCCCTCTGACAGGCTGCCTTGTGTTGTCTCTTGGTGTGATTTTCTTGTGCTTGCTGCCTATGCTGTTCTGTTCCTGTCTTTTTTAGTATAGAGTGTTTTTTCCGTGTGAATTGCCAATTCAATGAACTTACCCTTACTCATGTGAAGTGAGATGACCGACGAGCAGTGATGATAAGGGAGGGAGATACCCAATGGGCAGTGATGATGAGGGAGAAGCCCAAAGGGCAGTGATGTTAACAATGGTTGTCTCAGCTTGTCTGTATGCATGACGGTATGAGGCGTGAGGCCGTGTTAACATGACGCCTGGGTCGGACGGTGCAGCGGTTGTCACCCCCAGTCCCCTACTCAATTCACACGGCGCATATTGTACACAACAAGCATCTTACCAAGAGTAGATAAACAAGACTGTGCAACTCCGGTTCTCTCCTGCACACTCTGCAGATAC